TTTATTTTTTAATTTTTATAATAAATAGCAGTTGTGAACCTCTTATCACTATTAGACTCTAACCTCCTTCAGAGCAATTTATCTTACTAATACTTAAATCTTCCCTGTGCTTTGCGCAGTACATTGTAAGTACTTAATAAGAATGTCCTAAATAATTAACTTTAAGTATTTGAAGGGAAATTTTAGAAAAGAAGAAATAGACTTTTCTGTGTTATTTCATAGGGTAAAATTTGGGCTAATCAGGTGAATTTAGAGAAGGTCTATACCACTGGGATATACTGATATTCTAACAAGCAAAGCTCTTCAATTCTGGAATGACATGTTTTATCAAATAGGAAACTTTCTGTGCAGGCTTGAAGAGTGCTTGGGGGATAGGGCATTTGTTTCAGAAGGGAGCCTTTAGGAGGAGGTGTTAGATTGTACACAACTTTTTCATCTCCAAATCTAGGAAATTCATGGGTTATAGAGCATTTGCTAGTGTTTTAATATTAGTAAGTCTTATACTTTGTCTTTTTAATGCTCTTCAATGTTACAAATTATTCCAAATGCTGCATGTCTAGTATTTCTGGATTATAAAGCAGGAGAAAGAGGTAGGGGACATTAAAAATATGGCATAAAGGTATATGGGTTTTAGATCTGCCTTTCTTTCTTTTTTCTTTTTTCAGTTTTTGGCCGGGGCTGAGTTTGAACCCGCCACCTCTGGTATATGGGGTCGGCACCCTACTCCTTTGAGCCACAGGCGCCGCCCCATCTGCCTTTCTTTATATAGGATTTAGGCAAGTCAAATATACTATGTTCCTTAATTAGGATAATGGGAAAACATAGCATTTTTTAGAGACTAGGGATTTCTGAATTTTTTTAAAATAATTTTTTTAGATAGCCTCCTTTTATAATCTTTTTTAAAACCATCTTTTTTTTTTAAAAAAAAACACAAGCTTTATTGAAATATAGTTCTCATACATATAATTCATACATTTAAAGTATACAATTCAGTATTTTTAGTATACTCACCGCAATAAAACTATAGCCCTATTTAGAACTGCCAGTAAAATGTTAATTCCCATGGTATCTTCCACATAAAGAAAGATGATGATCAATGTTGTTGACCATTTAGAAGCAGAGAAGAAGGTCACCACATGGTAAAATAGAAAAGCAGCAAAGCCTTGATAGAAAAGAAATCAGGTGAATGCTGATCTGTAGGCCAAGGACCTTCCAAGAGCAGCTTGTAGATACTGAATGTGGCTTTGAAGGCAGGGTCAGACACCAGTTGGCAGAGTAGGCGGGTAATTCCAGGAGAGGCAAGTGATGAGAGCCCAGTGACTCACAGGTGGAAAAAGTCAAGGCCTGGGAGAGGCTGGAAGGCAAGAAATTACCTGCTTGGCTGAGACATCCTGAGTCAGAACATCATGGAGCATAAGGCAGTTGGGTTCATGGCAGTTGGTAGGCACTTTTAAAGCACATGTAATTTAGCTCTGATGAGTTGAGCCATTCTGTAAAGGCTTAGTACATTTGTGCATTAACATCTGAAGGAAGAAAATAGGCATCCATGGACAAATTCAGTCCAAAAATGTTTCTAAATTTTAGTCTTCACCATGACAGATTTTATTTTGATATGACAAGCAGCTTCAAGTTGATACCTCTGTGTTAAAATGTATTCTTTTCATGCTTAATATAAATATACATCGCTTCTTTCGTAATCTTAATGGTAATCTGGTATGTTTTACTCTATTAGGGTTTTGGTTTCATAAAACATTTCGTAATTTCATCTCAAGTAGACCAAGAATGAATTGACTATTCATTTTTCACCTGCTTTTCGAGTCATCTGATGCTAAGTATCATTAATATTGATTATTATCTTTCCTCAGGCAGACTTGAAATCATCTGTCCCCATTAGAAAGAGAGGCAAAGAATCAATCTGCCATGTGACACAAAGGCTTAGCAAACAAAACTTTTACTATAGGGCATTTGAAATCTGATTTATAAGCTTTTGAGTGCTTAAAGGTGGTGTACATTTTTTAATTTTTAAAAATTAGTTTGCTTGCATTGAAAGTCATGTGGTTAGCTGACTTCTCAAAATATATTTGCATGTTTTATTTTTACCCTTACCAACCTGACTTGTTTTTGACTGGTGTTACTTTACCCATTACTAGTTGTGTATGACTTTTGGGCAAATTCTTTAACAGCTCTCATCTGGAGTATTTCCTCATTTATAAACTTGGTGATAAGACAGTGTACTTCCCAAAGTGATTGAGAAGATTTCATGACGCACAATGTCATCACTGGTCCTCACTCCCATGTAGGAACCGACTATTAACCAGAATACACAGTAGCTCACACATAACTCAACCCATTCTTATTAATGTAAAAATAAATCAGAGAATTAGTGACTTGACTAGGAGGATATGAAAATCTTTTGTATATTTTTTAAGCCAGAATTAATGTAATAATGTTTTATTTGGTTAGGTTCTCTGAGTTTTAGTCTGCCTTTCTTTTATTATTTATTTATTTATTTAAGACAGAGTCTCACTGTGTCGCTCTTGGTAGAGTGCTGTGGCATTATAGCTCACAGCAACATCAAACTCCCAAGTAGCTGGAACTACAGGCGCCCGTCACAACACCCGGCTTTTCGTCGTTGTTGTTGTTACAGTTGTCATTGTTGTTTAGCAGGCCCAGACAGGGTTCAAACCGGCCAACCCCTGTATATGTGACTGGCACCCTAACCACGGAGCAACAGGTGCCAAGCCCATACTGGCTTTCTTGAAGGGCTTTGAGAGCCCCTTCTCGATACAGCATCTAATTTATTTTTTGCAGCTATTTACATAGTCCCAGCAGAGTTGGACATTATTTTACAGATGGTAAGAAAGGCAGCTGCTAAATAGCTGGTTAAAGTATATCATGACATAAGCCATAAAATGAATGTGAGAAAAGAGAACTGTTATAAAAAGTTATTTATAAGTCTACTGAGACATTTACCTTGAGACCATTTCCTTAAGCATCTTTCTTCATATAAGGTAATCTTTTCTTCAGTGAGAATACTTGAGAATAAAATTGAGTGGTCTAAAGAGCTTACTTTATATTATTTTCTATTAACTGGATCTAGCTATAGAGAACTACCTTTAATTTTGGTTCTCAAACTTCCATAGTAGACTTCCTATTGCAGAAATTGTTTTAAGGGAGAAAGAATACTTTCAGCAGAAATGTCTAATGAAAGGAACTTTTAGTTTCTTTTTAAAACTCTGTATTTTGTTATGAAATAGTTGATTTCTTTTTTTTTTTTTTTTTTTTTTGAGACAGAATCTCACTATGTCTCTTTGGGTAGAGTGCTGTGGTATCACAGCTCACAGCAACCTCCAATTCTTGGGCTCAAGCAATGCTGTTGCCTCAGCCTCCCAAGTAGCTGGGACCACAGGCACCTGCCACAACACCCGGCTAGTTTTTGGTTTTAGTTGTCATTGTTGTTTGGCAGTCCTGGACTGGATTCGAACCCACCAGCTCTGGTGTATGTGGCAGGGGCCCTAGCCACTGAGCTACAGGCACCGAGCCATGATTTCTTTTTCTTTTTTTCATTTATAAAACCTTTTATGTTTGCCCCCACAGAGCATATCAATTTTGGTTTGGAATGGCTAACCCATTTGGTATTTTTGGTTTCAAAATAAGAATGATTTTATGACAAAAACCTTTGGGGGTTTAGCTGACTTATAGCTATTTGCTTAGATAGAAGGTCGTCAGATAATGTTGTTCTGTTCAATGTTGTTTGGTTATAATGCTGATGAGATTAAAAAAATCCACTCCTGACTGGGGCCACTGTGTGTGGGGGAATTTATATGTTCCCCCATGTCTACGTGCATTTTCTCTGGTACTCTGGTTTCTTCCCACATCTCAAAGATGTGTATTTTAGGTGAATTAGTGTGTCTAGATGGTCCCAGTCTGAGTGAGTGCGGGGATGTGTTGTGAGTGTGTTTTGTGATGGGGTGGTCTCCTGTCCTGGGTGGGTTATGTCTGGAGCTCTGAGCTGCTGGGATAGGCCCTGAACTGGAATAAGGAGGCTGGGAAATGAATGAATGAATGAGTGAATACAAATTATCGTAAAATGAAACTTTGTAAAGGCTGTTATAATAACATAAACTCATGACAATAAAGCATGCTGTATAAAAGCTCCCAGCAAGCCCACCAGGTATATTCTTGTTTGCTTTTGAACTGCATGTTGGTAGGAGACATTTTCTTGACAATTTTCATTTTGTAATTAAGCTTATAGTAAAATTGGCTTCATTTTATATCATTTCACTTAAAGTTGTAGTTTCTAAGAACCTACCTATGACCTTGAGGACGTAAACTATATTTTGTTTTGTGCAGGGTAAGTGCATGTGTGAGAGACTGAAAGAATAGGGCTTCAAAGGCTATTCCCCTCCCGGCGGAGGCTGTCTTAGGGCTCAAGGAACACAGTCTAGAGGTATTGTAGCTACAACTCTGGTAGTCTAATGTTAGGTTATTGACAAAGACTCAGAACAGTGACCAATGTTTATGAACTAATGGGATTAAGGTGTGAAGCTTGATCTATTCTTTTTGAAATATAACTTTTCTGTGATCACATGTACAAAGCATGGTTAAACGTGCTGTGGCTGGAGGGAAGGAAGAGCATTGTGGAGGCCTCAAAATGGAAAGGAGTTTCTGCATAGAAATTTACATCAGTTACGGAATGAAGGCAATGAGTCTATAGGAGAGTAAGGGTGCTAGTCATCTTACCTTTATTTTAAAGAGGGATTTCATGACGAGGAACATGCTATGTGTGATGTCAGGCCACCAGGGTAAAAATATTTGTAAGTAACATTCATTTCCCTACCTTGGGAGTTTTCTCTTTTGCTCTCATTTTGTCACTAAAGTTTTACATTCTCTTCTGCAGTCCCTGCTATTCTGTCACTATTTGCACTTTTTCTAGGCTGTCAGTTTAAAATTTTTGTTATAAGCATGTTAACATGACTTGCTCCCTTTCCCCCCTACAGACTCAGATAATGTACAAATGGATAGAGCCCAAAATCTGCCGGGAGGATCTCACAGATGCTATTAGATTGCCCCCTTCTGGAGAGAAGAAGGATTGTCCACCCTGCAACCCTGGATTTTATAACAACGGGTCATCTTCTTGCCGTCCCTGCCCTCCAGGAACATTTTCAGATGGAACAAAAGGTAGGATGTCAGCTGGCCTGATAATCGGCCCTTTACAAGCTAACCTTGTTGGACTACTGTGACTTTGTTATAAATTGTTTTTATGGAAGGATTTTTCTGTAAAAAGAATGTTAAAACCCTTAACTTTCTTATCATTGAGTCTGAAGAAGAGTTGAGAAATAGGATAATGGAACTGCAAAGCTGCATGGCTTATTTTATATACAAGGGTAGCTGTTTTAATGGCATTTTATGTAATGCTCTCTTAATGGGATGTTTGTCTTTGGATAAGAAAATTTCACCATATAAGTGATTGAGGGTAAACGCTTCTTCTCTGGTGTGTGTGTGTTTATACTTCATGTATTTATATGAGCAAAAAATGTCATTTCTTCTGATATACCCTTAGAATAATGAATTGCATTTTATGCTATAATAAAAGCAAAAATTGCTTATTTTGATCATATGGCAATTAAAATAGCCCCAAGTAGATTGTTTAAAAAGTATACTGTTGGAAAAATTTTAGTACAACCCAAATCATAATATAAAAATAATGTAATAGAATTTATTTTAATCTTAGACAAGTGTTACAGTACATTTTAATTGCAGGTATCTGGCTTGAATATAAGTTGTGCCATATACTTCATATCTTTTGACAGCAGAAAAAGGCCTCTGAAGTCAAGTTGACTTGAGTGTGAATCTGTGTCCTACACACTGCCTGGAGTGTGATGTTGTTTAAAGCTTTGAACCTCAATTTTCTTGTCTTTGAGATTGTGGATAATATCTAGCTCATCATCATTGAAAGGTTATATAAAGATGTCTTCTGTAGTACTTTGGCAGCACGAAGTGTTTGATAAATGAAAGTTTTCTTTCCCCCTTTTCTTACAGAGATGATGATGCAAAGTGTCTTGGCTAAATTTAAAAATAATTGGAAAAATAATTAGAAAAGACTATTCTATCTCTACTATTCCACAGTTGCAGATGTTAATTTCTCAGCATCATTTCTCAACATAGTCAATATTATAAATTTCAAGTAATCATTTCTTAATTAAGTGGTATTAATATTCTGTTTTATAACCAATAGGGAGGATATGATTTTTCCTTATTCATAAAGTAGAGGGAACTGATTTTGAGATCATATGTAGGAGGACTTGAATTTGTTTCAGAATTATTCTTTTTATGGAGTATCATTCAGTATTAGCAATTATTCTGAGAAGGAAAAATTATTTTGAAAGTTTTTTTTATCTTTTTTCTTTTTCATGTTGGTGAAGCATATATGTGTGTGTGTGTATGTATACTATATCCAGAATTTTGTTCAGGATTTTTTTTTTTTAATACAGAGTCTCACTATGTCACCCTGGGCATAGTACCCTGGCCTCACAGCTCATAGTAACCTCAAACTCTTGGGCTCAAGTGATTCTTTTGCCCCAGCCTTCCAAGTAGCTGGGACTACAGGCACCACCACAATGCCTGGCAATTTTTAGGGATTAGGTCTTGCTCTGGCTTAGTCTGGTCTCCAACTCCTGAGCTCAGGCAATCCACCCATCTGGATCTCCCACCGTTAGGATTACAGGTGAGAGCCACTGCACCTGGCCTTAGGATTTCTTTTGAAACAATTATTAATTCCTAAGGGAACTGGTGGTCCAATACCTCTCCTTCCCACTTCTCTCTCTGCTAATTATAGTTTAGTAGTGCTTAGACAGAGGGAAAAGAAGTTGTACAGATGTAGTTTAATTTTAATTGTTTACCCTACTTTTCCTTTGTAGAATGCAGACCATGTCCAGCAGGAACAGAACCTGCCCTTGGGTTTGAATATAAATGGTGGAATGTTCTTCCTGGCAACATGAAAACTTCCTGCTTCAATGTAGGGAATTCAAAGTGTGATGGAATGAATGGTAAGGTCAGAATCAGCCCCCAGGGCGTATTTTGGCAGTATTCTCAGACTTTGCTCTCTAAAACACACCAAATTCTGGCATGAGGAACTCCAGCCTTATCATTTGGCTACTTACCCATCTTCTAGTTCTCACATTAAAAACAGTAAATGTGGTGTCACAGCCAGATGACTTTCTTACCTGAATATTATTAATTTTGCACTTTCTGGATGTGGTTTATAGATACTAAGGATCACCACTTATGGGTATAAATACCAGAGGGGATTTACCAACAGCAGGTAATGAAACTGGTGCTGTTTACCCTTTTAAAGAATAGCATGATAGCATTTCTGTCGGGATTAATTTAGTCAGGCTCAGCACTGTGCAATAGTGAGGGGTTAAGTGATATCAATTTCCCTTGCCTGTGAAATTTATGATTGTGTTTACAAAACGTGTATGATCCTCACTTACTGATAAAAACTTGAAAATGTTATTTTGGGCTACGTTATTGCACTTACTGTGGAGTTCTGTAGGAAAGTGGTTGAATTTCATTTGTTCTTACATTTTAAGTGCTCAGAGAAGTTAGCACTTAGTTGTTCTGCAACATTTGCTGGTGGAGTAAATGACAATATCTCCCTATAGTTTTTAAGCTTGATGCGACAGTTAGGTATCATAAATACCAGGGCTTTATATCCTTCACTTTTATCAGCTCACTGGCATTTTTTGTCAACTTCTCTCTGTGTTGTGTTTGATTACTGTAAACACGCTCTCACCTATTCACACACACACATAGCCTTTTTAATACCTGTGTTTTAAGTCAATGCCTATCCAAAAGAAATAGGCTTGAGATACAGGAAGTGAGGTATACACGTGAATACAGAGATTGGCAAATAATGGGCCTTTGAATAATGTCGATTAAATGATATATAGTAAACATGAAATATTCCTCCTTAATGACAAATAATCCCACTTTAAAATTTATCGTAAGGGAGAAGAAGGAAAATGGTAGTTATTACCTGACCACGATGGCTTGTGTTCCTAAAATGTCCTATGGTTAAATTCTACATTGAGAAAGTTAAGACCTATTGGAAAAGTGAGGTCGGGAAGGGCAGGGTTTTGAATGACTCCGTATGTGTGTGTTCATTTACTAGTAGAGATTATCTGGAATTTGTATTTGATTTTTTGGAGGACTTAGTCTAACTCTTATGACAATACTTGATTTACTTACTTTGCTATACTAGAAAAAAAGTAAAACAAAATACACCAAAATATAAAGGGGCTATTTTTGGGGGGGGGGTTGGGAAGTTTCTGGGAAGTATGAATTACTTTTTTTCTTGTTTAGTTTATTAAATTTAATAAATATTCCATCTAGACGCACATTACTTCCCAAATCAGAATAATAGAACAAAATACTAGTTTAAAAACATATTCATTTGACCTATCAAGTCTTTTATTGGTATTCTTTTCTAGAGAAATACTAAAATATGGAAGATCTTTACCTAAAATATGTTTATTATGGTGACATTTATATTAGTTAAAAGTAAAAACAGGTCAGGTGCAGTCGCCTGTAATACCAGCATTTTGGGAGGCTGAGGTGGGAGAATCGCTTGAGGCCACCTGTTTTCTGTGTTTTTGTGTCTCTGTATCTTCACATGGGCTCTTCCTGCGTCCATATTTCTATCCTGTCATAAGGACACCAGGCATACTGGATTGAAGGCTATTCTATGACCTGATCTTAATTTGATTATATCTGCGAAGTCTTTAGTTCCAAATAAAGTCCCATTCACATGTATTAGGGGTTAGTACCTTAACACAGGTTTTCTGACGGACACACTAAACCTAGAATAGCATATGTTCTGTTTTACTGAACCTGTGGCTGGAATTTCCCCAAAAGTGGCTGGCGGGGAGTCCCCATAAGGGAGGAACCCAAACTGCCCTGAGACGGGTTCTGGTTGGTATTCCAGAGAAAGAAGCACTAAACTCCAGAGGGATCAGGCCAAAGCATTTCTCAGGGGAATTTACGTAGGGAGGGCTCAGGCCATGTCCTTGGAGCAGACAGTGAGACAAAGGATGTTCTACCTAGGCGTGTCTGAAATGAGGGAGTGGGGTTATGGAGTTTATATAATGATTTGAGGAGTTTGACTCAGGGCCAGAGTCTGTCAGAGTTTTGGACAACAACCAAAATACCCCTGGAAATGCTCAAGGCTCCAGCTTGGGTTCAAGCTGGTGTGTTGGGGGGCAGTACGCAGCTGGCAGGTCACAGCGTGATCAACACACTCTTGTGTTTCTTGGTCAGGATGGAGAAAAAAGGGAGGTAGACTAGGGGGCTCCACAGCGGACAGGATTCAGATGCAAGAAATGTTTGTCTCCTTTCGTGGGGGTGTTAATCCCCCCATCCCAAAGTACTTCTCCTTACTGTCCTCATATTGCTTTCTGTTTTTTGTTTCCCCCTCATGCCATACACATATTTGAACACTAGGAGGTGTTCTTACAGAAATATTTGTAAAGCCCTTCTCTCAGGTAGATAGCCAGGATCTCCGGCCCTTCTGGGGATGAGACTGCTCTGTCTGGAGCACCTTGGAAGAGGGTGGGGTGGAGTGGGCCCTCCATCTTGGTGTTGCCCCACCCTTAATCCTATCCTGAGCACCTGCTATACTGGGGAGCGGAGGAAGCACTTTACCACTCTGGGAATTCCCCAGCCCTGGCATGATAGGATTCGGAAAGCGACCTAAAGTAACATTACGCTGATTATTATGTCATTAGCTTAAGTGTAGGTTGTGGTTTGCTCCACCCAGGTGGGCTTTCAGAAGGAGACCTCACACATGCAGATGCAACCTTGAGAACCCTGTTGATCATTTGTTACCATCCCACACCTCACGAAAGCCCTTCTCTGGACCAGGCCAATAAGAGGAAACAACCTAAGAATTAATTCCCAGAGAGAGAGCCAGTTAGTGAGTGAGTCAATCTGTCTGTCTCCACTTGTGCAGACAGACTCGTTTTGTTCCTCAATAAAAAGCTATTTATGAAATTGTCTCCTGCCTGTGGTCACTCTGTCCTATTGGCCCTGCTTGTGATTTTTCCAAGCAAGAAGCCAAAGAACTAGGATAATAGTCTGCTGAGAGGGTAGACCTGACCCTGTGGTGTGTCTGGTCATTCTTCAGCCAAGAGTATACCAAGCACGGAGAGCAGACGGCCACTCTGACACTTCCATTTGTGGTATAGGATTGCTACATGGGAACATGCCTCTCCCTCTTAGGCCCACCACAAGTTTGCAGTCTTCTGAATGTAAATGCCTCTCATATTACTTACATTGCAGTCAAGGGCCTGTTGTTCCACTGGGTAAAGACAGTTCTGTGGCTTTTCAGCTCTTAGAATTAGAAGTTGGTATCTACTTTTCTCTCTTTTCAACCACGTGAACCTTCAGATAGTTGAACAATTGGTATTTCTCTCCTAAGTAGATTAGTATGTGTTGTTTTTAAGATTAGCTCGATTGATATACAACCAACATACCACCTTTCTATAAATTGCTGATAATAACATTTCAAAAACTGTCCAATCTAGCAGTAATAGTTAATCCTTTTCTCAGTTTCTCTTTCTTTCTCATATCTCTTAAAGTAGCCTAAATTGAAATTTTCTTTTGGATGTGGAAGTGCCAGTGCTAAGGTATTGCCATTAATCAATAACCTTGCCTGATGCTATGTTGGGGAGACTTCTCTCTTCTTCTCTTTACTGTGGCCATTTCAGTTCAAGGAATGTCAACTGCTCCTATGCAGAGGACAGACTTCAGATAACCTTTTATAGATAGCTCTATACTGTTAAAAGTTGTTAGTGTCTCTCTATTCTGATGTAACTGAATCCAAGCTCTTATCGCTCACTAAATGGCAGCCAATAAGTTGAGAGATGAAGTGTTAGGATAAGGAAAGTGACTTATTTGGGAAGCCAGCAAACTGAGAGAATAGCATACCTTTGTCTTGAACCATCTTAAGTTAGTTTGAACCTTAGGCTCATTTTTACATTAAGGGAAAGAGCATGGATGTTGCAAGAGGTGACTGGTGACCCCAGGTATCTGAGTATCAGCAAGGGTCAGAGGAGGTTGTGAAACTTCTTTTTTCTCAGGATAACAAAAGTTAGGTCACAATGTTCCTAGAAATCTTTGATATAGCATAGTTACTTGTATGCATACTTTCCTTATCTCCCCAGGAGTTAGTCTTGGGAAAGGGGTAGTTCTCTTCTTTCTTCTAGAGATGAACTACAACCTAAATTCTTTCTCTAACTATCTGGACAACATCAGAGTTAAGCAGAAGCTTTTAACCTGAAGGATATTACCACAGGGGGTTAGAAGCAAGATGGAGTTAGTCCTGCCACGCCTCTCTTCTGCGGTTACACTGACTCCTCAGGGAGGGTGGGCCTTGTCTGGTTTCACTTGTGCTAGTTGAGTAAATAAATAAGTGAATGAATGCTGAACAGGGGTTAAGTTAGGGAACAACAATACAGCAAACTGTAAGAAGGAACTCCTGACGCTAAATCTTCTTTGTTAAATAATGTGAAGTTTCTACTTCTCACTGGTTGTCCGTGGACTAGGATTTTCCATCTCATCTCAATATATTAGAATGGATAAAGGCCATCTGTTTTAGTTCAAAATTGTGCTTCATTGAGAAAACCGTTTTAGTTTTCCCATTAAGTAACTTTTATGCAAAATAATGCATTGCTTGGTTCCTCCTGGGGAGTGATGTGGAACATCTTTATCCCTACCTAGGGGCCTACCTCTGCGTGCAATTTGCAACTGTAACTTAAAAATAGGAAATTCTTGTGGAGTATTTTTAACTTTGAACATAAGTAGTAAGACTTCTTTTTATTTTTCCTTTATTTAAAAAGATTGTTGGAAATCATTAATGGAATTTTTTATTAATAAAAATAACTTTTATCATTTCCAGGTTGGGAGGTGGCTGGAGATCATATCCAGAGTGGGGCTGGAGGTTCTGATAATGATTACCTGATCTTAAACTTGCATATCCCAGGATTTAAGTAAGGAAATTTTAATTCTTTCCTGTAAGAATCCCCACACTTGTTTTTCATAGAAGCACATGAAGTAGGGCTGCTTATAGAATATATCAATATTGAAAAAATACTTAGTAAGTAACAAGCTGTCACAGAGTCGAGCATTACATTTACGACTATTTGTAGCATCAGTGATTGATAAACTGTTAGTTGTATATTACTCAGATAAAGCTGAATAATTTTAACAATATTACATCGAAGTGCTGCAATAACCTTGATGCTTGGATGCTTAATGGAGAGAACTTAGTTCAAGTTATTTGTAGGAATATCTTTTATTTATTTGTTTTCCTAGTTCTCTCTATAAGGTAGCATATTACACATATTGTCTTGAAATTTCTCAGTAGGAGTCTTTTTTTGCTTTGGGATGGATTGGCAACATTAGTAGCGGAGGATTCAGGTGTATTACCTTAGCTTGTAGACTCCATATGAGAACAGAGAGTGCGAGTGTGCAAGATGGAGTGTCGGAGAAGTTGTGGATGGGGCGGCGGTAGGTCAGGGGAAGAGAGGAGCATGGATTTCAGCTTGCTAAACAAAAGTGGCTTAATTTTATTCTGAATTGTGTTTAGAACATACTATAAATATTGCTATTTTACTCTGCCAAACAGACCACCCATGTCTGTGACTGGAGCCACAGGTTCTGAACTAGGAAGAATAACCTTTGTCTTTGAGACCCTCTGCTCAGCCGACTGTGTTCTGTACTTCATGGTGGTAAGTGGACAAGCAGGTTTTGGAGGCAGATCTGTGAGAATTTATCTGAGCAAGGTGGGATAAGAACACTGTTTTTCTTGCCATTCTTAGGGCCTTCCAAAAAAACATTAAAAAATACCTAGGTTAGTCACTAAGAATTGTGCAATAAAGTCCACAAAGAAAGTATTGTTTTCTCATGGGAAAGACCCCAGGTAGGGTGGGGATGGAGAACAGTGACTGATAGAGGCCGGGAATGTTAATCTCTTCAAAAGTTCCTTCATAGGTGGCTCCAGTAGCTCAGTGGGTAGGATACTGGCCACATGCACCAAGACCGGTGGGTTCGAACCTGGGCTGGGCCAGCTAAAACAACAGTGACAATTGCAACAAAAAAATAGCTGGGCGTTGTGGTGGGTGCCTGTAGTCCCAGCTACTTGGGAGGCTGAGGCAAGAGAATCACTTAAGCCCAAGAGTTTGAGGTTGCTGTGAGCTATGCTCCCACGGCAACTCTACCGAGGGGTTGTGCTTTTTGTTTGTTGTCCCAATGACCCTGTAGTAGCTGGGTAACAGTCCATGAACAATTTCGTCCACAGTATACAAGATGTGTAGAGATTTATACATTTATTTGTGATTATAAATAGCTTTAATGAAGGCAGATCATTTCGTTCTGAAAACAGATATTAACTTCATAGCAGTAAGACATCATGAATAATCTTTAACATATCCACCAAAGCCACAAATAACCCACATATCTTCAGTTTCCTCAACTCTGCCCTCTTTTTTTTTTTTTAATGTTAGTTGTTCGTACTCAGTGCCATTGATGAAATTCAAGCTCCTATTATCTCTCAACTGGACTGTTCAGTGGTCTCCTATCCATTCTTCTCATCTCCACTCTGTCATCTGTGCCACTGTCAAAATTACCTCTAACATAAAAACAACAGGAGAGTCATCAACAACGAATCCATCCGCTTGCCCTTGGTGCTTTTTATTGCATGTAGTACGGCTTTTTAAAGTGTGCTCTCTGGACCAGCAGCACCAGCATCTTCTGGAGACTGAGAAAAGCAAATTTCTGGGTTCCGTCTGAGTCTTATTGATTGAATGGGAAGCCCTGGGGCACAGCAGCCTTGGGGAGGGGGTTCTGGTGCACTCTGAACACTTTCCTTAGCACGGCATCTCTGTGGCTCTTTGTCTTCTTTCCCCAGCCTCAGTTATCAAACCTGCTTTTGCTGCTGCTCACCTCCCCTTAGTCCCCCGAGTTACTTAGTGTGAGTGAACACTCTGTTTTCATTCCTTCTGTGCTGACTCTTCAAGCTAGAACGACATTCTTCCTTTTGCTTTTTTGTCTGATAAACTCCCAAGCCTACTTCAAAGGCAGCGATTAGGTCATTAAGTATGAAATATCCTGTTTCAAGTCAAAAGCTTAGTTTATTATATCTCAAACAAGAAGCAGTACAATTAAAGTAAGCGCCTAAATTATTGACACAATTTTGCCACCTTAAGGGTAGCTTGTTTATGTGAGCAGAGAAGCCTGGAGAGCAAGTGGAGATGAAATCATGAAAGGGGCTTTCGACAGCATCTTCCTTGGTTTTCCTTACCACAAGTAGACCAAAGCCTGGAAGAAGTACTCAGTTGGTGCAAGGCTTGGTGAAGGTGGTAGATGACAGAGAGTTTCCATGTCTTGTGTCTGTAGTTTGAACAGGATTATTTGTGTGACATATGGTCCAGCATTGTCTTGCAGGAGGCTTGGCCTGTCTGTACTGACTGATCTAGGATGCTTCATCACAAGCATCCTCATCATTTTGTCCAACTGGTTGCAGTAGACATCCTTTATAATCAACTGACCAGGTTTCATGAAGCTGGAGTGGATAAAAGCAGTGCCAGACCACCAGATAACATTAGCCTTTAAAAAAATTATAGGATTTTATGGGGGTCCAAATGTTTTGGTTACATGGATTTCTCTTGTACTGTGTGAGTCCCAGTTATAATTGTTGCCACCACACAGGCAGTGTTCATTGCACCTGTTAGATATGACTTCATCCATTCCTTTCTCCCCATCTCCCACCTGCTTGATTTCCATTGAGTTTTACCTTCATCTGTGCACATGAGTGCTGATGGGTTAGTTCCAATTTAATAAAGTACATGTGGTGTTTGCTTTTCGCTTCTTTAGATACTTCATTTAGGACAGTGGTTTCCAGTTGTATCCAAATTGTTGCAAAGGGGATTAAGTCATCTTTTCATGGTTGAATAATTTTCCATGGTGTGTGTGTGTATGTGTGTGTATATACACACCCATTTTGTTAATCTACTCATGAACTGATAGCTAGGGGTGATTCCACATCTTTGCATTTGTGAATTGTGTTGCAATAAACATTCAAGTGCAAATGTCCTTTTGATAAAATGACTTCTTTTCCTTTGAATAAATACCCAGGAGTGGCACTGCATGAACGTGGAGAGAAAGGAACACTTACACAGTGTTGGAGGGCCTGCAAAGTAGCCCAGCCACTATGGAAAACAATATGGAGATTTCTCAAGGAGCTAGAAGTAGACCTGCCGACCACTTGATCCATCCAGCAATATTATTAGCTTTTCTTGTTTTAATGAATATTTGGTTTGGGACCCGGTTTCAGCACTTTGTCTTTTATCCAACCATTATTCATAATGCTTGCAATTGTCAAAAAGAACCCCCCCTTTTTGTGTGTGTGTGGTTTTTGTCCAGGGGCTGGCTTTGAACCTGCCACCTCTGGCAAATGGGGCCGGCACCCTACTCCTTTGAGCCACAGGAGCCAGCCACAAGAATCCATTTTTTTAATCCCACATAACAATACAGTATAGCAGTGGTTCTCCTTTATGTCATGACAGCAACGAAAGACAGGGTTTGAGATGATTTCTCTTCTGATGTTTATTTAATTCATGTGGAACACATCTGTCCAGCTTCTTTACCTTGCTTATGTGTTTCAAATGATCTAGTAATGTTGTAACAATAACGTGAAACCTTGCTGCTAATTCATGCATAGGTTGAGATGGACTGTTTCCACGACAGCTTTCAGCCTCATCATTATCTAGGTTGGTCTCAGGTTGCCCACGTGGCTCATCTTCATGATTAAAGTCACCAGAGGGGAGCTTCTTAAGTCATCAACATACTGTGCATTCATTAGCCACATCCTTTCCAAACATTTCATTGATATTTCAAGCTGTCTGGGCTGCATTGGTTCACAAGAAGTCATATTTGAGAAAACACAAAGTTTTGATTTTATCCATGGTTTCATATTTTTCTAAGAAAATATGAAAGATAATCAATCACAAGCCAAAATGTGCATTTGAAACAATGAGGATGAACCTTAACAATAAAAATAAAGCAAGATGTGTCAAAGTGAAACATCAGAGATACCAGTTGTCCAACTTAAGGAAATCTGACATTTCCTACTTAATAACTTAATAAAACTTCCCCCTTTCTGGGAAGCTCATGGTTCTCTCATTTCTTTAAAGTTAATCACCCTCTCCAGTGTGTTCCTAAAACCCTTTGAAAAATACCTGTTTTATTTATGTGAATTTACTTATGTTTTTGTCCTTCTTGACTCCTTCTGATCATAGCCATGGTATTTATTTTGATAAATCAATACCAGAATGTTTTTGCGTTCAGCAAAGTTGGCTAATTTTTTCCCCCTCTTTGAGTGAGTTGATCTTCTCACAGAATTTTGGGAAATATCAAATTAAATAACATGTAAAATGCTTTGAATATCAGGTAGTACTTTATAGATGTAAGGTAGTATTATTTGTAGTAATGCAGGAAGTTCCATTTTTTTGTGGCTAAGAAGATATCTGTATATCTCAAGCTCCTTTTTGGAAACAGTATGTATAATGATTTGGTTGTCTGATAATGTGAGGATATCTGTAATGCATGACAAGCATTTTCTCTTACTCCTATCTGCAGGGTGAACTCAAAACATGTCTCTCTGTAGCATACTTGATTACATTGTAGCATACTTGATTCCTATGTCTATAATTCTAGGAAAAGAAAGAGACATGTCTTGAGCTCATGCCACCCGGTCCACCAACATTCCAAATAAGTAATGGAGGCCCATCCAAGTTCCTAAGTGAAGCGTTTCTGAAGGGAAAACCTATTAGAAATTTCAGGGTTAGCTCTAGTTTTCATTTCAAATAAATTAGATGTAGATAACGTTATTTAGTTAACTTATTTATTATATTTTCTTTCTAGCCCTGTTAATGATAGCATATCAGGTGGAATATCAACAATTTATTTGATTATTCTAAATCTTGAATTTAGTTAAAGGAATCAGAAATATGTTATGAAAATTAACCATTTTGGAATTCAAGTGTGAGCAAGTAACACTGTGATGAGCCTGAGCTTGGTATGCCTAAAAGTTGCAAGTATAATTCTGAGGGGAGTGGGCTTTCCTTTGTAAGAGCTGCCTATCTGAATCTCTGAAGGATGAAGATTAAAAATGGGGAAAGCCTTTCTGTTTTATGAGAATTCTGGAAGCTTATTCCAAGAAGCTTGAGAAACTATGTTGCCTCTTCTATTTCTCAAGCTGGAGTCATACACACAAACAACAAACAAAACAACCCTTAAATGTGCTGTGATTTGAGATCTCTTTAAAGTTATGTTAAGAATGTGGTTCATTACCAAGTGAGGTGCTTGTACAGACGTGAAGGAAAGTTCTAAGAGTTCAAAGGTTATGTGCTCTGCCAATACATAGTAACATACTTCACATACAAACACATTTGTATATATACACATATATAGAGTATATTAATACTTAGTTTGTGCTTTATTTGTATATATATATTTCTACTGTTATATATTTTTTCTACTGTTTTAGGATATTAATAGAAAAAGTACCAATGTGGTGGAATCATGGGGTGGAACCAAAGAAAAACAAGCCTACACTCACATCATCTTCAAGAATGCAACATTTACATTTACTTGGGCATTTCAGAGAACTAATCAGGGTCAAGATGTAAGTTTCAAGCACTTTTTTTTCTTTAAGTACAATGATTATGCCCCCTGGTGGAGATGCATACAAAGTGAGCATTCAAATCTGGAGGAAAAGACAGCTTTCTTTTCATTGGTATAGAATCAATCATCTGGTTATGGGGTAGATTGATGTAAAAATGGTAAGCTTTTTTTCTTTTTCTTTTTTTTTTGAGAGTAAGAAAATATGAAATTGAATAATTGTGTCTTTGTTCTGTCCCCTGAATGACTATAGTTGCTTGAAGCTTAAGAGAAAGAAAATATAATTTTATAGTTATATAACAATAGTTTATTTTAATGGTTTCTGAGACTTTTTGAAAGTCTGCTTTCTGTGACTTTCTCGCTCTTTATCTGAATGGTCTGACATTTGTCTAGCAGCCATTAACTGGTATCGTCTTATTTTTTTCATGACAGTAATATTTCCTTTTTCAGCCTGGAGAATGTGAATTATTTCCTTTCTCTTACTTTCCCTGATAGAATAGACTTAATCCTAAGTAAATGCCATTGTACAGTATGTCCTGATAGTTGCAGGACTGTTATTTTTGTGGATCTCCATAGATATGACTTCCCAAGGTGAGAACGAGGTAAACCAGCTGTACAGAAATGGCCTGACTGCCATGGTGGCAGGGGTGGGACCTGTTCTCTTTTCTTTTCCGGCTTTCAGTGGGGAACCCCTTCCTTCAGTTTTGACTCCATGTTTTCCATATGAGTGCTCAGTTTACCATTATTTGGGGCATGAACATACCATGGAATGCTACTTTTTCTTTGCCTCTAGCTCATCTTTGCCCCAGACCTCAAAGCATTAAGTAGTCGGGGTACCACTGCTCTGCAGTGATTGAGTGATGTCCACTGCTTGATAAAAACCAGACCTTAAATTGACCAGGGTCACAAGAAAGAAAAATATAGTAAGACTCAGAGATTTGCTTTCGATTCTATATCCTTTTAGAATAAACCAGAGTATGTAAATCAGAAAGAGGATCAGAGAGGGAAACTCAAGCAAGTGGTGTGATCACATCAGTAGTCAGGATTACACAGTTAGGGTTTAGGTGGAAACCAGAGGTTTTGGTCTTCTAAGATTTTCTAATCCCTATGCAAGGGCTTTTCCACCCTGCCACGCTGTCAACAACCTATTGCATAATTTGATTGAGGCTTATATCTGAATGATTGGACACGAATTGCTTCTTTCTCAAACTCTTCCAGATGTAATACCTGCAAACACTCTGAATTTATACCAAATATGATGTATCTCCTGGGAATAATGGCAAAACTCTTGGAACTCCATTTCTGTGGAAATGATTTTCTAGCATCAAGAGTTAAGATTTTTTTTTTTTTTTATACTGGAACCGAAGTAGGAGTGATTTAATCTATTGTTAATCTTAGTGTATTAGGCCAGAGCATTTTACTTTGTTGTTTTGATGATATCAATATAAGTCATAATCTGGTTGTGTGACTAAGCCCCAGTGCAGAAGTCATTACTTTCTGCTCTTTTTTTAGAATAGACGATTCATCAATGACATGGTGAAGATGTATTCTATCACAGCCACGAATGCAGTTGATGGGGTGGCGTCTTCCTGCCGTGCCTGTGCCCTTGGTTCTGAACAGTCGGGCTCATCCTGTGTGCCCTGCCCCCCAGGCCACTACATTGAGAAGGAGACCAACCAGTGCAAGGAATGTCCACCGGACACTTACCTGTCCATACATCAGGTCTATGGCAAGGAGGCTTGTATTCCATGTGGGCCTGGGAGTAAAAGCACTCAGGTAGGTGGGTCTGCATTACAATTATTTGAATAGAGAAACTCCAGGGTTCACCTTAGTGATTATTCAGGAGCTATGAAGTTTCTACTTATTCTGAAATAAGAATTTTACATTCTCTTTTCTCCCCTCTTACATTTATTGAGTGATTAATGTGAGGCATGAAAGTGCTCGTTTCTAGGGGCATAAAATATTAAGAGAAACACTCAAATAACAATGACTTCCCAAAGTTAAAACTGATTTCTTGTGTATCATTAAGGTACAACAAGTAAACTGTCTCTATAAGCTGGCCATAGCAGTCATCTAGGGGAGCAGCTAATGTATCTTATTACAAATTATGTTTTAAAGACAAAGACTGAAGCAATATTATGGGTGAAGGATTAGCAGTTTTCTTGTTTGTTTATACTGGCATAACAGAATAGTTTTGCTATTTCTTAACCTGTCTGCAAGAAACTAATTTTGGGGATAACTTTTCTCTGACTTGACAAAATGTTCTGAATTTTGTGAGCTTTGGCCTAGAAAAATCAAGAGTTTAGAAATTCTCTGTGTTAGTATTGTAAAATATATTAGTAGTGAGATCAAATTGCTGAAATAGTTTTTGCCTTGAACTATACTTTTCAAAGACATTTTTAGGAGTAGTTAATACATTCTTTTCTGCTATATTGTTTCTTCATCTTTAATCAAAGGACCACTCAGTGTGCTACAGTGACTGCTTTTTCTACCATGAAAAAGAAAATCAGAGTTTGCACTATGACTTCAGCAACCTCAGCAGCGTGGGCTCGTTCATGAATGGCCCCAGCTTCACCTCCAAAGGAACAAAATACTTCCATTTCTTCAATATCAGTTTATGTGGGCATGAGGTGAGTTCTGGCTGTCAGGTAAGGCGGAGCCGTATTTCATCTTGATTGAGCTGATAGCTTCTCTGTGTTGGTGAACTGATAAATTCTCTACGGAAACCTAACAACCAAGTATCAGAAGCTGAGCTTTGACTGCTGAAATCCTCTGTTGCCTCCTTGCATACTGGCAGCTTCCTCCACCAGGAGCAACCTTGTCTGACTCTCAGATCATCAAAGCACTTATGCAATCAGTTGAATCACAAAGCTTGCAGCTATGGTGTCAGTGCTCTGCGAAGCTGTCATTTTTGTAAAAGTGGGTCAGGCTTGTCAGTCTTACCTATGATTTAAGGAGGCAGTTATCATTTGAGAAAGCTTGCTATTGCTTATTTATCAATTTTGTGTTTTATTTTATTTATTTATTTTTTTTAGAGACAGAGTCTCACTTTATCTCCCTCAGCAGAGTGCTGTGGCGTCACAGCTCACAGCAACCTCCAACTCCTGGGCTCAGGTGATTCTCTTGCCTCAGCCTCCCAAGTAGCTGGGATTACAGGCGCCCACCACAGCTCCCGGCTATTTTTTTGTTGCAGTTTGGCTGGGGCCGGGTCTGAACCCACCACCCTCTGTATATGGGGCCGGCGTCCTGCCCACTGAGCCACAGGCAATGCCTAATTTTGTGTTTTAGAAAGAAAAAGACTTCCAATAGGAAGTTTGAAATACAAAGGAGACATGCAGGGCAGGGATGAATGTCAGTTGATAAGGTGGCCTTAAATAATACGTAATAACACTTTATTTTCTCTGAGAAGAACCAGAACTTTAATTGATACTGGCAGTGGGGAGCATTATAGGATGAAATGTCCAGTTTTCTTATAAACATACGAAGTTGGGGGTTGGGAAGAATGCACAGGTGTATATAATTTGTAAAGGTGAAAACATAGCAAGACGTTTCCTCCATATCTCTTCCCATATTATCTCTAACTGTCTCATTATGAGATATCGTGCTAAACTTTATACAAAGGAAATGAGAAGAGATGGGGTGACCACAGAGGTTTCAAACCAAAGATCTATAAATTTTACATGGTATGACATTTGTCCTGTTCTGATTTTATGTAGGTAATCCAGAGTACTGCTTGACTCGTTATGCTTGACTCCATACATAAATGTCTGTTAAATTATATTTGCCAGATACTGTGTAAAGCAATAAATAAGATTAATCCCATTCTCTATCACACTTCTCAATCTTTTTTTTCTTTCCTTTTTAAAAAAATTTCAGATTAATATGAGGGTACAAATGATTATAGACTATAATGTTTGCATTTGTTAGGTAAAGTCCCTGTTGTAGTTGTGTCCCGCACCCAGGAGGTGTGCCATGTACCGCTTACGTTGTGCCCGTTAGGTGAGAACACGCCCATCTCTTCCCATCTCCCCTTGCCTTCTTTTCCTCCCCCCTTCCTCCCATCTTGAAACAAATTGAGTTTTTCTCTTGTATGGGTGTGTATTAGTTCATCTACTGGCTTCATATTAGTATTGAGTACACTGGATCCTTGCTTTTCCATTCTGGTAATATTTTACTAAGAGGAATATGTTTCAACTCCATCCAGGTTAATACAAAAGATGTAAAGTCTCCATCTTTTCTTATGGCTGAATAGTATTTCATAGTATTCATATGCCACAGTTTATTAATCCATTCCTGGGTTGATGGGCATTTAGGTTGTTTCCACATCTTGGTGATTGCATATTGATAAACAATCTAGTATAGATTGCCCTTTCAATAAACTGATTTTTTGTTTCTTTTGGGTAGTATGGGATTGCAGGATCAAACGGAAGGTCTGCTTTGAGTTCTTTGAGGATTCTCCATACTACTTTCCAAAGAGGCTGTATTAGTTTGCAGTCCCACCAGCAGTGTAAAAGTGTTTTCTTCTCTCCGCATCCGCACCAGCGTCTGCAGCTTTGGGTCACTTCTCAAACTTATTTCTGTATTACCAGAGTCTCTTCTAACTCCTCTCCTCTTCCCTCCTGTATTTTTTCTCTTCCTTTCCTTTTATTATACTTTCCATTATTTCCTTTTTCTTTCCCCAATAATTTCTCTCTTCCTCTTCCCATTATTTCTTCTTGGCTTTAACAATTTTGTTTAAGCTTAGTGAAAATATATTGTTATCTGTGTTGTAGGGGGAAGAACACTTGTTAGGTTAGGATTGCCAGCTGCATTAAGAAAGAGAAATCTTTATACTTTTGTTATGCATGTCGTGTGTACTATGTATCTAAGACCCACTAAACAGCATCCCTGTTTTCCTTTCACATTGCTTTGTAGAAATTATGGAGCAAGCTATAGTTCTTTGCAGTTGGACTATAGTATACTTAAACATACCATATTTAAAGCCTTCTAACGTTTATAAATTGTATCTTCCATCTAAGTTCTAAATGATTAAAAAAGTAAACCCTTGTGTTCCCTTTAACTTATTTTATAGTTGAACAGATATACATCGTTGAATCTAAGAGCAAATGAATAAAGACGCTCCTGGCGACCCATTGTAGGGTTTTGCTGCAATGTGGCTGTTATGTTGTTTTCTTCTCTAGCCCCTATGTTGGCTCTGGGCCACACATGGGCTCATAAAGAAGGAGGAAGAACAAGTCTTTTTCTTAGGCATTAAAACTTCCATCAGCAGTTTGCTGGTCTCTTTGCATGCATTATTATCCTATGGATTGAACATTTCATAGATAACTTTTATTTTCTTAAGTTAGATGGCTTTCATCCAGCACAGACGATACTGTGGTGGGAGGAGCAGTGCACCTCAGATTGCTGTGTTGGTTGTAAGTGCGGTGGTTCCCAATACCAGTTGTATGCTGGAATTGCCTTGAGACCTTTTAAGAAATACTAGTGCTGGGGCCTCACACTAGAATCTCTGTGGTGGTGAGAGAGCCACTGCTCTGCTAGAGTCAATATGTTGCTGACATTCAACAAAACCTCTCCTTTATGACTGTGTTCCTAGGGGAAGAAGATGGCTCTCTGTACCAACAATATAACAGACTTTACAATAAAGGAAGTGGCCGCAGGGTCAGATGATTATACGAATTTGGTGGGAGCATTTGTATGCCAGTCAACTATTATTCCTTCTGAAAGTAAGGGTTTCCGAGCAGCTTTATCATCACAGTCCATCATTCTAGCAGACACATTTTTAGGTAAGCCTTCTTGGGTTCATACTTGCATGCATACATTTATCCTAAAAGTATGGTGTTGGTAACTTGCTGTTGCCTTGGTGTTTGCCATAGATGGTGAAGGCCCATATGTAATTCTAAATCATCCCTTTGTAAAATGATTAAAAAAAAAAACAACCCTTAACCCAGAGGCATCTATTAATCAATCTCAGTGAGTGCAAGAAACTTCTGAACGTGTGTATTAACTCATTGGTGGCATGACATTTTCTGAGAATGTACACCTTTCCTTGAGTTCTTTAGGAGTTGAAGAGGCAGGATAATTTTAAAAACCAAAACTAAAAACAAAATAAGAACAGTAAAAAACTCCAATCTAAACGTACGTCATCATATATGCCACCAGCTTTTATCATCTTCTCTCATACCAGCAGTAAACTGGTGACAAGGAGCAGAGGTGGAGATGCTGAGTTTTATTCCTCATGTGCCCTGTCTGTCTCTGTGGTCCTGGCAGGTGTAGGAAAGTTTTAAGAATACTAGTTTCTATTTAGTGATTCTTAGGAATCAATTTCATTATAACTCCTGGGCTGGGGGTTATGAATCTATCTATAATTTTAATAAACTTCATAGGTAATTCTGTCATGCATCTGTATTTGAGAACCATTGCTCTAGACTCCAGAGCAAGTCACTTTAAGTTTCAGCACCAAGGTCAGTTACCGCGCATGAGAACTGTTTCAGAGGCAGCTTGCTCTTACTGCTTGTGTTTAGTGCTACCATCATTTTGCCTTGCACGAGATGGGTGCCGGAAAAGGGGAGGCTTACTTTTCTGCTTATGAGACTAAGCAAAATTGAGGGTTATTTTCTGGAAATTATTAGGGCACAAACATTTTTTCCTTGTCAAATACGTTTACATCGAATGTGAGTAAAGAGCTAAGTTAGGAAGGTGGCACAGCTCATCTGACAAAATTCACCAGAGGATGAAAATTTTAACAGTAGATTTGTGAAATGTCAGAACTAGAAGGAACTTTGTAGATCATCTAAATTACAGATGATGCATGCATTTTACAGATTCAGGAAATGAACATTCAGACAGGAGAGATGACTTAAGCAAAATTACAAAGCTAGGGAGTAGAATCTTTTCTGTTTGATTCTGGAGAGTTTAGAAAATTTCTTGTTTTTACCATGAATGTATTAATTTAGTACAGTATTTCTGGTAAAATGATAGTCATCGAAGTAAAGATATTTTTCATTGAGATATACGAGGCTAAATAAATCTAATTTTCCCATATTGCTTAATAGTTTCTTTTTTGAATGCTATCTAGGAGTGACAGTTGAAACCACATTGCAAAATATAAATATAAAAGAAGATATGTTCCCAGTTTCACCAAGCCAAATACCAGATGTGCATTTCTTTTATAAGTAAGTGAAGATGGTACTTTGCTTGACTACTGTTTTTATCGAAAAGAAAATATATATATATCACACACATATCTATGTACACACTTATATGCTTATAATTGTCTGTATATGATCATATACTGCACAGTGAGTTACCATGATTGAGAAGATGGATTATATTATTTTGGGGTTCCTAGTATATAGCTTGTAATTAATAGTCAGTAACTGGTTCTTGAATGAGAGACTTAGTAAAAAGTAGGAAACGCGGAATATTTTGAAAGCCTTATCTAGTCTCTCTCATCTATAGGTAGATTTATAGTCTTTAAAAATGGGCAATAAAGAGACTCTACTTCTTATGTAGACAGTAATGATTTATAATTTACACATCAAAGCATCAGCTAAGTTGATAAGACCCCTGTTCCTTTAAAAAGTTTTTTTGATCACAATTATGGTTAAAATTGTACTAGCTTTACTAAATATCTTGATGATAGCTTTTTACTTTACCTGGAAAAATAGTCAACATTTCGTAAGTAAGGAAAGTAAATGAGCTGACCTTGTATTAAAATTCTAAATTAGTGAACTTGAATATGTTTTCCCTTTTTGTTTGTTTGTAGAACATGAGAACAATTACTCACATGACATTCTTTTCTTTGTAATCTGTGTTGTATCTGTTTCTAAACTATCGTTTGCCTTACAACAGGTCTTCCACAACTACAACGTCTTGTATTAATGGCCGATCAACTGCTGTGAAAATGAGGTGTAATCCCACTAAACCTGGAGCAGGAGTGATTTCAGTCCCCAGGTATTCTTATTTCCATCGAATTATTCCTCATTTGTATTTATCACAAGGCAACACAACTCTCCAGTGTCTTACTGTTTTGAAAACATGTTCTCTATGAGTGTAATGCAGAAAGAGAACAAAAGAATCTGTGGGGTTCTGTTGTGGGGATGTGCTGAGCCCCTGTTCGGAGGGATAGGTCTTTGTCTAATCTCAATACTTCCCAGCCTTCTCGGTGACATATTCTTGTCCTGTTGGCCTTCAGTGTCTGCTTCTCTTGACATTAATTTAAGCAACATAAAGTTAATGACATTGCTTGTATCCTTCTGTTTGTCCTATTGTTTAGCTTCAGTTTCTTTGAAAACTAGACTAGAAACTTTCCTAGATTATAACGTTGAATTAACAACTAACTAGCAGGGTGATCTACATGGACTAATCTAACTTCTAAGTCTCAGTTTCCTTCTCTGGAAGGGGATGAGGGCCCAGCGTAGATAATTTATATGATCTATTTCCAGTTCTTCAGTTTTTTTTTTTTAAATTAATGGTGGCAGAACCACCCAATAAGTTTGACCCATGCAATATATAATACAGGTCATATTAGTGTGATCAATAAAGTTCATATGTATTTGTAACACTAGCAGAAAAGAAATAATTGCATGGACTCAGAAGAATTGGCAACTTAAACATAGGCTTTGTAGGTGACACTTAAATATCTTCTGATTTTTAATTCTAATCTTTGTAGGGTTAAGGTACCTTTTGATCATTGTTTGAGATTTTTTTCCCCATCAAACTAGCAAAAGTCTGTATTTTAAAAAGACAATGAGTGACTTAATTTTGCTTTTGGTAGTTTCACAGTAACCTTGGACAAACTTTCGGCTATCCTGCTTATGTCACTTCAGGTTTGTAAATCAGTGATCTGAACATTGCTTCAACTACTTGTGTGTCCTAAAAATAATTATAGTGGTTGGCAGAGTGTTTGGGGCTCTTTTTTGGGTGTAAGACACACTGGCGTTCACTCCTCACAACTGTGTTTTCAGCTTATCATGGTTCTGTACGTTAGTTATTCTTTTGACCTATCTGAGGAGAGAGGAGAGTGTGATGAGAGGGGTACGTGCTGAAAGGAAGTAGACACCAGAGAAAGGAGTACAGGCAGCCTGGTGCTCAAGGACCTCAGCTCCCCATCCACTCTGTGCAGAGGTGTCTGCAGAGGTTCAGGAATAAAGGCATATGTCTTTCATTATCCTCTGATATTCCACCATATAGCTTTGAGTTCAGTAGTTTGCTGTATATACTGTAAAACTCCTTGGATTCTTTTTTTGGGGGGGGGGTCAGGCAATTAACATCTCTGAGTCTTATTTCTAGGAGTCTACTTAAATAGCTTCAGAAGCCTCCTCCAATTCCCTGACTCAAGGAAATGATGTTACTAACTACTAGGTCCCCCCTTTAGAAAATATATCCCTCTAATTCTAAGATGTTTTCTAATGTAATACAGGAAATAATCTCTTGGGGTTAAATGATGCCACCTAGAAACTGACTTTTTCATGGGGAGGAGAGGAAAAGTGAAGTTTCTCTTTTGACCTCCAGCAACCTGCTACTTACAAACTTAACTTTGTTTGCCAGGGTTTTTCAGCAGAATACCTTGGGGTGTCATTTGTCTTAAAAAGTAATTTCTGGGCCTTCCCTAAAACCTACAGAATCTCTGTATGTTGAGCATAGGAATTTTTAAAAAAAATACAAGGTAATTCTGATGCACATTAAAATTTGAGAACCATTTGTCTTAACCCACATTTTGGAAATTTGACCTTTTTTTTTTTTCTGAGACAAATTCTCAAACTTTGCTCTGCATGTTAGTTTCTGAAAAGATAATTTAAAAATGTTGTGGTCTACAGAATAGAGTCTTTTACCCATACTTTGATAAACCTTTATGTACAATTCTGATGCACATTAAAGTGTGTGGACCACTGCTCTAGGGCAAACCCCACAGTCTAAATGTGCTGACATTTCTTTCTTGAGTCAGTTTCCTGTCAGGGCACAAGGGGGAGCTCGGGGATCAGAATATGAGAAACAGCAGCTTGCTCTGAAATAATTAGACATTTTTTTAGCTGTAGGGCTGAATAAAGATTTCCTGCTAACTGGAAAATAGTGTTAACAGAACCAAGTTTCTCAGGCTACTCTTGAAGAGGACCTTTTCTTTTTTTTATTTTTTTCTTAATCATTAAGACCTCTAAGGGGTGGAGAGGGGGATACTAACGAGACCCTTGTCTTGAGAAGCCTCGTATACAGACCAGGAAGTCTCAGAGTGCAAAGGGGATGTCACCTCCAGGAACTCTCATTTCTTGGTCACGGATCTTGGCAAACTTGGCAAAGGCAACTTTAGCAATACTAGTGTTGGGTGGGGCTCTATATCTTGGTGTCCTGAGAAAATGTCGTAAGTTCCCCAGCCCGGGGAAAATTAGAATGTCTCTTTGTCCCTTTTCTTTTTAATTTATATATGGTTGTGGGGGTATGAGTGAAGTTTTCTTACACGCATAGATTGTGTAGTGGTCAAGTCAGGGCTTTTAGGGTGTCCCTCACCCAAATAACGTACATTATGCCCGTGGTACATCAGTTCTCAGCATTCACCTTCTCTTACCCCCTCACTCATCTGAGTCTCCACTGTCTATCATTCTACTCTTTATGTCCATGAGGGCATATTTTTTAGCACCTACTATGAGAGAGAATGTGCAATATTTGTCTTTCTGTGCCTGGCTTGTTTAACTTAAGATAATGACTTCCAGTTGTATCCATGTTTCCACAAAAGACATTTTATTCTTTTTTATGGCTAAATAGTATTCTTCATTCTGTCTATATGCTACATTTATTGTATTCTGCCATCTACTGATAGAATTTAGGTTGACTCCGTATCTTTGCTATTGTGAATAGTGCTGTGATAAACACATGAGTGTGGGATTTTTTTTTTTTTTTTGGATATACTAATTTCTTTTCCTTTGGGTAGATACCCAGAAGTGGGATTGCTAGATTGAGTTATAGTTCTATTTTTAGTTCTCTGAAGAATCTCCATACTGTTTTCTATAGAAGTTGTACTCATTTGTATTCCCACCAGAAAAATAAGAATATCTTTACAGAAAGTGAATAAGACAGGAGAAAAGGAAGTTTGTGTTCTTTGTGTATTGCCTGAAAAATTAGAGGGAGAAGCAAATTATCTGGCTGCCTACTCATCTGCAATTGGAAATTCCAACCTGTCTATCTGGTCTGGCGAATGTAGTTGGTTTCTAATTCCAAAAAGTGTCTGGAGGGAGTGAGACATTTTGGATAAAAACAGTACCGTGTTTTGGCAGATGTAATCTAAGAGTTGAGGTGGACTTTTGAGATTTTCTAGTGCAGCTTATACCTTGGGCAGAGAATAAACTAACACAATAGAATGCTGATATCCCTAGATAGATGCCCCTCTGGCCTGTGGCTGCAAGGCTTCCTAAACCTCTAATTACAATCTTAGGGGGACAGAGGAAGGGAAGGCTCTTCTTTCATTAGGAAGAATTTAGACCTAAGCTTGTGCCCAAAGGGCTCTTTCAAAAATATGAGAAATGTCTGTTAGTGAAAAGAATATAAAAAGACCTATTAGAAAGCAGGCAAATGGAGCCATTTTTACTCTGATAATAGAGTCGCTGTGGCATCTGTGAGAACTTTGAGTCAAACCCATTTACTTTACAGACTAGGGAACACTGCAGCCCCAGGTTGTATAGCTGTAGAGTGGCACAATCAAGATGGAATAATTTCCTGACTGTATCTATTGTTCTTTTTCATGCCAGCATGCTTTCATCTTGCTATTTTTTTCCCCCTTACATTCCTCATGGGCAGGGCAGAGATTTGCAAAGAATCACATCAAAAGCAAATATCACATTTATCCTGGAGGAGAACTCAACTGATCTGCAAGTTATTGGTGCTTTATTTTAAGTGAGTCATCTTTCTTCAAATAGGGTCTTTATTAATGTTCTGAGTTAGAGGAAAATCGTGATCTCTCTCTCTTTCTTTCTCTCTCCCTCTCTCATGACAATATTTAACTGCTTGGGAAGTTTATAAATCAGTCTAGAATTGTTTTGCCAAAACCTTCTTCAAATCCAAATTCATCTTCATTATCAATGTATCTCTGGGACGACTGTATCTCACAAAAGGGATGCTTCACAGTTCTATTCTGATAATATTTAGTGGTCAAACACTCTAGGGGTTTATTCCAGAGATTCCAATTAGAGCCTTTCTATCAAAGTCCATGGATGCTAATGTAGTATTTTCTTTGGTCTTTTGGGGAAAACTGTGAAAGCCGAAAAATCTATCCATTATAAGTTACTAAGAGCTAGAGAATGATGATTGGTTAAATGAGTCCTTTGTTTCTCATTTTTTCCTCTGAACCATTTATAGACAGATAATAGCTATCTAAATCTGTGCAAGTTAAATTAAAAAGGCAATTGAACTCAAAAGTTTAAGACCAAATATGTTCTTAGCACATTAAAAAGAGAGAAGGCATATAAAAACATTATGAGCACAAGTGAAAACAACTGAAAGCCACTATGATCATCAAATGGAAAGTTTCTAAAACAGAATGCTAAAATTATGTCATTGAAACTCCAATAATCTTTGTGATACAAAAGTCTCAAAATATAAAATTTTAGGATCAATTTTGAAATAAGGATGACAAAACTTAATTTTTTTAAAAAGAGAAATTAGGGAGTGTCAGTTAATTTAGTCTGCCTACATCTTGATCTGAAGCTGGCATCTGGTAATTAACTCAGGGCAGAATCTTTAGAAAGGGAGGTCTTTGTAGGAGATTGATAGAATTTTATAACCCTAGATCCAAGAGCTTTGAGTAAAGAAAATCTTATGTTCAAATTCAGTCTGCTGTGATCTAAATGTTTGTGTCTCTTTAAATTCATGTTGAAATATCATCAATTAATAACAATATCAAGATGATGGTATTAGGTGGTATCTTTGGGAGGTGAAATGATTAATTCATGATGGCTTTGCTTACA